ATTCATTTTATTTCCTCGTAAAAGAGAAAATTTAGTACAATGAATTTTGTAGATTTTGGCTCTCGAGTGTTCTACTACTTAAACAATGTCGAGCATTTTTTCTCAGAATCAGAAAGACTAGACAAAGACAATCTGAGTAATCGAAGATGATCGTAGTATAACACTGGGCTTCGGATTACGAAGTTTGCCGCCTATGGTGGCTCGGCTGTTCTTTGAGAACCCAATGCCATCTGCGACTTTTGAAATAAAGCACAAGAGTCGCTTCATTTTTCAACAACTGTCGCTAGCGACAATGCGACTTCGAGAGATAGCATCACAAAAGAGAAAAACAATGTCACAATGTACGATTATCACATATAATGAGAAAATTTTTTTATAAAATTGTAAGCTGATGTATTTAGTTTGAAGAGTGCGAAATTTTTTCCTTGCTCGGCAGATCGTTCTGATAAAGTTTTTGTATGTATTAATAATTACTAATTAACAATAACTATTAGTTCGCGAGCATGTTTTTTTTAAAATATGGAGATAGTCACATAAACATCTTAGCAGGTTTATCTTTATCGTAAACTGCTACCATAATTACGATCAGCGAAAATCTTTGAATTCTGTAAGCCAAAACTAAAGTAATCCAATTTTATTCAGAATCGACATTTTTTCAATTCACATCAATTTCAGTTGAATGATGATAGCCTCAGAAAGGATGAAAAGTGATTGGTTTTTTCCACTCGGTTCGTGTCTCTTGCTCTGATCGGTTCTTAGCAAGATTCAAATTATACTAAAACACATCGATGTTATTCATCTTCGAATCAACATTGAATCATTCACACCGATCAAATCGTCTTCAAAGTAGCAAATTCATCCGTATCGAGTAGTTCACGAGCGAGTTGAATCACTTGTTCGATGAATTTGTCCATATCCGTGAGTCTCGTTCGATGATTCGTAATACACATTCTCAAAGCAAATGTATTCGTACCAATGACAAATGGTGAAACAATGGCAATGCCTCGTTCTTGTATCATTATCAATAAACGTTTATTAAATTTGTTTAACATGTCGTGTTGATCGATAGTATTCGACTGACATACAATATAACGAAAACAAACAATATTTAATGTTACTTTAGCCAATAATTCAAATTGATTCGAATGCTGTTCGATTAAATGAGCAAAATACAATGCTTGATCAACATTTTGTTCCATAATACGACCGAATCGTTCGATTCCATACGTTTTCAATGTCATCCAAACTTTTACGGCTTTCGTATTACGTGAAAGTTGAAGACCATAATCACTGAAAAAATGTTCGGCCGGTACGGTCGGCACTGGAGCCATTGATGATCTACAAGGTTTAGCCGATATTTGTGCTCGTCGTCCGCATGATCTTTGGTTTCATGTCG